TCACGACGCAACATCTCAGACGACTAAATCTCACTTCTGAAAAATTTTCGAGTGGAAATGCATTCTCCATGCAGTGGACTTTCTAATTCCTATGTTTTAACTCGACGGTAATGGGATAGGCTGGCAACACCACTGGCATGCAATTATCGTAGGACTGTGAAAATTTGTTACAGATTTGTAAATTATATTTTATTATGTATGTGCAACGCAATAGCAATAACGAACTTCATCAGAGTCTGTTTAGATAGACCAAAGATCCTGTTTTACCACACATACGACGAAATGATATATTTCGCTGCCTTCTAACACGAAACTTTCCAACCTGTCATTCATAATGATCGCCGTTCTACGCTACAGAACATTGCAGTTGTTAAATAAACCAAAAATAATCAACTTCATCCAGTTATTAATATCACGTGCGGAAATTAAACCCGGCTTGTTGAAGTCACGAGCATACTCAATGCGCACTACAATTGAATTGATGTTTTATTGATTGAATGTACATCGGTTTTACTTGAAAAGTTTCATATTAACCTTTATTAGTGGATTTTAATGTGTGGAAAGTTTAGTAATGCAGACGGTGATGCAGATTTGGGAAATATAACAAAGAGAAATATTTACACGTAACTTGTAAGATAAATAATTTACTGAAGCACTAATCCTACTGCATTGTACATTTGGTGTGGTCATCACTGAGATATGGATTTAAACAGATGAAGATATGTTTTGCCTTTTGTGTTCATACGCTGTGTAGTCTTCTGGTGGTATTAACATTTCGAAGTAATGTTCTACCTCCATCTTCAGGGTTGAAATGGTGGGGTTATGACGCTTGATATTTTATGTAGGATTAGATCGAGCATGTTGCCCGGAAGATTGTCCAGTCAGAACCATCGGATATTAAGCTGAGTCTCGTAGACAGAAGCAAGGAATGTCGTTCTTTTTGAGGGTCCAGTGTCCGGTTCTTGTGAATGGAGTCATAGAATTTCGGGTTTCATTTATGGTGGAGTGTTTATTGGATAGGTGAGAGACTGTTTTAAGAAGGACTCTTCTCCGTGGAGGGAGTTCGTTAGGACTTGTGCCGTACTCTGTTTCAGCGTGTTCCAAGAGATGTTGTACGGGATATCGACTGGGTTTGGTTCCCCCCAGGTGCCAGTGGCAGAATTGCTGGCCCGTGCTGTCCCCACCCTCCACAGCCCACAGAAACCTAAGAGCAGCAACTTCCTCCAGGTTCCTGACATGGAGTCACCCAGGTACGTGGTTCTTGTTCACCCCTGTACCCACTGACGAGTGTCCATTAATGCGTACACATTTCGGTACATACGTTTTCATCTGTTTAATAAATTAACTAACACTAAATTATCGTTTCGTGATGTAGAAATAAAACTGATTATTTTCCTCTAGTCGGCTTGGGATAATTATTGGCGTAATTTTCCACGGGAAGTGTGTGGAACATCGTAAATAAATTCCCGATGTTTCTTGAATCTGTACATGGAAAACTTCGAGGAACATTTTCACATATCCGTATTTGTATTTTGCTACGTAGGTCCCTTTTTACTACACTTTTCATTTCCTGATGATTCTGAAATAGGTCCCTTTTAACGACACTTTTCATTTCCTGATGATTCTGAACTTTGTTTTGGTAAACATTATACGATAAACCTTCCGCATTGAAACTAATGGCTCAGTGTTTATGTCTGATTGAGCGAACGTCCGTTCAGAATATGGGATTATTAAAATTGAAACATTGGTTGCGACTCTGTGCTAGTAATCACTAGCTCTTTGTTAACAGAACGAGCATTGAAGTCTCTACTTCAGTTTAACTGCTCTTGTCTGCGTGAGATGGCAGCACTTTGCCATTGACGTCAGTGAGCATGGCGATTCTAGGTGATGAAAAGCCCGGACAGTCATCCATACGGTGGGAGCAATTCATAACCACGAACTGAGCGACATGTCGAAAGTACAGGTCACATCCACTGAGGCAGCGAGATGAATGCCCTTAAACGTTACCAACAGATAGTATCTGCTCGCAATTTTCTCCGGAATGGAGGTCAATTTCTGAAGTTATTTTTCTGTCACACTGTGGAACTTAGGTGTGGCGTCAGACGACTTACGATACGCATTTGGTTACATTTCTACTCATTTTTGTCTTATCGTACACGTTGGAAGCGTGGAACATTTCAGAAGAGGACAGATGACTTACATGAGTAAAACAGAAGATTTCATCATTGTTACAAACGATTACAGATTAGCTTGAAATTATGTATAAATGTATCACTGTATAATATAATTTATAAGAGGTTGTATGAAGAGATAAAGATTTTCACATAGGCTGCAGATTCTGCCTCGTCAATATTTGCTTACTCCTAGCGTAATCTGACAAGAAACAACTTCTGTACAAGTAATGTAGCTGAGTTTTCCTTCAGAACTTTTTATAGCCTCTCAGCTAGTTAAGAAGTTACTCGTATTTAAAGGAACCAAAATATTCATTACCCTTTTCACAACAGTCCTCCATTGGACCAGACAGTGTGACAGAATTCCAACTGTACAGTACTTCACAAACAATTATTTCGTATGATATATAAACCATAACATCGTTGGATAGACAACAGACTTTATTTATTTATTTATGTATTTTAACAAAGAGCCGTGATTTAGAAATGTGGTAACCATGGCATTTGAGCATTGGCCATGTCTTCGCATATTGAAATTTGTGTGTAATGTGACAGATCTGTGCACGCATTGATGTTGAAGCTGTGAGATCCACAAATTTCTGAGTCTCATGTTGCAAGACTATTGCGGTTTAATTGAAACTGCTGAATTGATGTGTTAAATTGAATAATCTGCTATATTTGTATTTATAAAGTACGGAATGTGTATTGTATTTTAAGTATTCTTTACGTTAGTTACGACAATGAGAAAAACTATTTTTATTCTCAACACGAAAATGAGATTTAAAGTTTTCTTTGCAAATGAAATAATGAGGTTACGCCCGAGTTGTTCTAAACCCTATATATATGAACCAAGCAAATTCTATACCATTTTCTTCTAACTAAGTTTAATACCGAAGAGTGTAATTATTCTCTGATCGAAGGTCTCATCTGTTGTTCTAAAAGTATTTCGAGTTTTTGTAGACTTCAGAATGTAACGTATTACTTATATTAGTTCTGCCGGCATTTTATCAAAACTAAAAGACTTTTAAACTTTCCTAGAGCAATTTAGACCTTAAAAGTGCTGGGCTGAAATACTGTTGGCTCAGCTGTACGAATTTTAGACTGCCTAAGATTGTCAGCTCCGTGTCCAGAAAATTCGATAGCTGTCAAAAAGTATTTGTTCCACCCATTTAAAATGCAAGCAGATCATTATTTTCGCCTGTCACCAAGCTAATTCTCTGTTCTTCTTAAATTCATTCTATTAGATTGCCTATATCTTACTACCAGTGAGATGAAGGATAATAAAACATGCTGTTATTTAAAGTGCATTTTACCGTAGAAATAAAAATTAGCCGATCGTACGTAATGTTTATCTAAATCAGAAATGAGTTAGTGTCCTAAATGTCTCTGTAAAAAATTGATTCTTTGTAGGAGGCTGTGCTGGACACATTCCATCGTCTGGGCCACAATTCCTACTTTATTTTTACGACGTTTCGGAAGTCTCTTCTACTCTCGTCCTGTGGTGATCGGTTATCATTACACCGACAAAATTTGATCTTTTTTGCTTTTATCCGGCTGTTGGGATTGAACCCCGGACGTCCGACGTTATGATCGTCATTGTACTATTATACCTTTCGGAAGGTCCCAGGTTCGATCCCAACCACCGCCACTAAACCTATGCATAAAATAATCATCTGAGGTCGGTCGTTGATCCGGATCCCGAAACGTCGTATAAACATCAAATAAACCTCGGAAATTGGGAAATTTCGAACATAATATTTATATGTCTTTGTCACTCGTTGATAAAAATATCCATTATTCGCAGACAAATTTGTGATCCGTCTTACCTTTATAAATTTGACTTAAGTGACAATAAAATAATCGAAACAGGACGCATACTGAGAACGTAAATGGTTCAGAAGTTTGCTTGGTTATTTGCATTTATTACGCTGTCTCCTAGTTATTACTGTCCGTTATACAGAGTGATGTGAGTGTTCCGAAACCCGCGTTGGCACATTCATTTCGTCAGACGCGGAAATGCTAAGATTGACAGCTTGTGTGACGTCAGATCTTGCGCGTACAGTGAGGGACAGACAAATGTACCTAAGCTCTGAATTTCCACCAGTGTAATGGCTTATCCATAAAAGGGTTCTGGACATAAATCTGTTTTCCAGTTACCTCATTCCGTATTGGCTGATAAATTTTTTTAAAGCAGATGGAACTACAACGTGGACAATGCGATTTCTTATTACGCCGTCATATGTTGCTTTTATTAAAGTTATTTTGTAATGCAATTGGTTTTTGGAGATTTTGAAGCCATTATAACAAAAGTAACAGAACGGTTGAATGTCTCGAAATTTATATTGAAATATTGGTTTATGAAGATTATAAATATGCATTTTAGAAGTAAGAAATATTAATATTCTTTTGGCATTGCTAGCAAAACTTGGGACTGGAATCTATATATGTGACATTTTAAGGGGAAAGAGCTTTTTCCTCTGCGTGAATCGGATTGCTGTCAATAACTCTGTGTTTAATACATGCAGCGGTCAGTTTATTAAAATCCAGAACCGAGGTCGTCGCTGTTTGAACATTCTCTTTTCCAGTCATGTTTCATTTCGCTACAGTTCGCACGACATTTGAACTGAAACGTTAAAATCTACTCCTCCATGTTATCCTGTGGAAACAGGATTACACAAAGTTAAATTTCATAGAACAAAGTTGAAATACACAGTGTCTGAGCAACAAGGGGATAAGTCACAAATGATCATGTTTCAGGCGACGTGGTATTCCACGTAAGACATGGAGTATAAGTTAAGTATGACAGCGCATCTGGCCCCCTTTTGTTTCGTAAGAGAATCACCAACATGGAACGACTTGTTGATTTTGAAATAATTAAATTTTCGTTTCAAACATATCGTTAATAACAATGAAAATAGAAGCTGTTGTTGACATAATTCTTTATCGGTTTATTTTATCATATTTTCTGCCAACATGTCTTGACAAATTTTCTATAAATCTCGAATGACACACATTTTTGAGGTCCCCTGAAACTCTTGTCAGTAGTTATTTCAAAACGTTTTGTAAAAATATTCTTATGTCCATATATGGCTTGGAAAATCAACACGTAATCTGCCACAAAAACCCGCTTTCAAAATTGGTTTTATCACAGTCAGATTTCTAAAATATGCCAGTCTTTTCTTGTCTGTTGAGCTCCGTGGTTCTCTTACCAAACTTTTACTACATAGCATTTCGTTCCTTGTACCAAAGTTTTCTAGTTGCCCGCCAGATAACAGCACTACCCGTACCAGGAGTGTATTCGTGACAATGAAATATGTAAGACCAAACCTCATGGTCCCCTGAAACTGTGTAGTTTTGTTTGAAGACACAAACCGACTCCACACTGCACACCAATAAAACAGGCACCAAAGCAAAGCCCCTTCCTAACACTAACTCAAGAACGAGCCATTCATCTCCGCTAGAAAAGTGTTTCTTTATAATATATGTGTGTTTTTAAAAAATTTTATCATTCTCTAAGAAATGGGCCTATCTCCGATGAGTAAGTTGACTTAACCGAACGCTCGTATTGGCATTAAAATTCTGATGATGTTACAGCTAATTTCTGTCAAGCAAGATTTTCGTGATCATTAGAAAAGGGAAGTTGGAATTTTTAACTTATTTTCATTCATGTTCTGGATATAAATGATTTATACTTCATAGATCTAAAATCATCATATATTTTATGACATTTCTAAATTCCGTGTATAAGATGCAAAATATTAGAGGCGTGTATTCATTGTGCTCAGTGTGGCGATAAGACACACGTGGTAACAGGACCACAAAGAAACAAAAGTGTTGGATGACACTATTTGGAAACTGAAGTAGTTTTTTTATGATAAACACATGTTCCGTCCTTGCAAGGTTCTGTCTATTTATCCGTATAAAATACAAAATTTCAAACCGCTCCTCTGCATAATTGCAGTTTTGCATTGCCTCACTGTGTGTGCGATGGCGTATGTTGAGTTGGTTAATATAATTGAGGAGCTATAAAAGTGGTTACTTTGAAAGATGAGGTGTAAAAATTATGTGTACATTAAAAT